TCTTAGTTTTCCACATCAAGCACGCGTATTCATCTATTCAACTACTGTCGAAAAAAGAAAAATCAGTAACAAACATTTTAATAGATCTTGAGTAAGTCAAATATAGTAACGAGCAAAACGTTCTGCCACTTCGTCTATGAAAGCGGCTAGCTACTCATCGAATAACCATTGAATCTATCCTCTTTTCAAGGAAATCAATTATTAATTTTATAAGATCTCTTATTTGTAGCATGTCTTATCGTTATGCTTATTCGAACGGTGTTGGATATGGTGATGGTATGATGCCATACCAAAATGGCACAGCTCCAGTTTATAATGGTGATATGGCTCGTAGGTAAGAGCTTAAAAAGTGATAAAAGTTCATTTCAAGGCTGAGTTTTGTTGTAGTTCTTATTCTCCTGATCGTTACTCATCGTTCACAACCAACAGTTCAAGTTCGGATTATGAATACCGTGGTCGTCTAATATCACGAGAAGTTCGAAGACCAAGAGATGTAATTCGTGCACCAACTCCGCCTCCTATAATTAAACGAGTGGTGGAACGAGCACCAACACCGGAAGCACCGATCATGGAGCGGGTATGGGTCGAATTATAAGAATTGTCAAGTCATTGACGCACTACCTTGGTAAAACGCCTTGTACTCAAGATTTTGAGTTAGAAATGTTAAAAGATCTTGGAATAAACACCATGAAATCAAGATCTTGGACTCTTGAAACTTGAGGGAATCGAGTCGAAATGTTTTAAAGTATTGTGATATGAATTTTTTACATTTTCTTTCTTATATGATAGCCATAACCATCAGACATACAATCATATATGGTCATAAGCTCATCCCTAAACAGCTACTATGTTAAATTGAAAATTTTTGGAAGTTAATTGAGTATGAAAGTTTTCGAAGTTATATGCAAGCAAGAATGGGAAAAAACGGTGATTTAAGAATTATCAAGGCTTTGGTACAAGAATTCAACAAATTTTAGAAAGTTCAGTATATTTGGTTCTTGGAATTTCTTATATTTTTTCACCAAGATCTTGCTGAAAAAATTCAAGAAGTCAAGCCCTTGGTTACAAAAAATTTCACTATGGTAGTGCGGAAAGAATTATGCAAAAGAAAAATCATATTTTAATGGCAAACTTTGCTTTTTTAACTCACTCTGGTTTTTATTTTAGGTAATAATTCGACCGCAAGCACAAGAAATTGTTGAACGTGTAATTGAACAACCACGCACCCCACCACCTCGAATTATTCAAAAAGAAATGCATGAAGAGGCTCCTCCACCTATAGTTCGAACAAGGCTCGTTTTAATCCCTCAGAATGGTAACTTGTCCATAGTTCTAAAAGTGTATTATTATTTTGCAGAGTAATCAAAGTTGATCGTCCTGTACGTCGTGGTTATAGCCAACCAGGTTCTCCTGCCGTCATGTCGTATACCGTCAATGGTTTACATCAGGGTTATCCAAATGGTTATCGAGCACATAGTATTGCGGGATCGACTGGAGGACCTGCACTTCATCGAAGTTATTCATCATCATCAAGTTTCGAATACATGCCACCGGCAATGCCAGGTATGGTTTTGCCAGGACAACCGATAGTAGCTACAAACGGAGCTATGATGATGCCATCAGCAATGGGTGCTGTCACGGACCGACCAACTCAAATGTTTTATCGACCAATGATGACGACAGGTATGCAATCTGGTATGTCGGCCATGCAGGGATTAACGTCGATGATCGGTTCTCCTTATCAACAATTTCAATCAACTCCAATTTCCTCCGGTCCACAGACCAGTTACATGTATCCATATCAACAAGGAACCGGTGGAATGGCATTTGGATACCGACCAATGATGCCAACGCCAGGTGCTCCTGTTGCTCAACCAGGCTACCATATGCAAATGCCAAGTGGTCATAGTGTGCCGTTAATGCAACAAAACTATCCAACTGCTCCCATGTTTAACGCGGCTAGTACCATGCCTCATCAGTTAGTCTATTAGCTTTCATTTAATACAAATATAGACTGCTCTATACAGTGTTTATTCCTTGGTTTTGTGCATTCTAGGTCAGATAAATGACATTTACAAAAAGTGTTTTTCTGCTAAGTTTGTACTTATTTATTTCATTTGTTTTTCTCAACCATTTATTATATACATTCAAACTGAATGATAAATCTTTTTCCTCTCGATAATAAAAGTAACTATTTATACTGATATACACGACTGATTGCAGTATCTTGCATAAAATTGCTCCATATTATAATAAAATGGAGCACGGATTATCGATATGTCAGTCAACACTATAGGACCCATTTCTGCACTATTATATAAAATTCTACTTTTAGCTTTTTTGAATATTTTACAATTATTAATTATTATTAGTCAAAAACATTCTTTAGCGTCTAACAGTTTCTATTAGTATTTATCAGTTATCAAAACTAACTTTCTTTTAAGGCATGTTGAGGTGCATTCTACTACAGCATGCTATGTCGAGGCATAAAATGGTGACCAAGTATAAATACTTGGTTGTGAAAGTTCAGCATTACCTTAATGTCGTAACTTTGTCCAAATCTTTGCAAAAAAACCGAGAAAGTTTGTCTTTTCCGGACTTCCTACCGTTTATCTGAAGATCAGATGGATCGCATATTCCATTTAAATATTTCGCGTAAAACATCGGGAAAACAGCTGAATGTAAACTAAGTGAGAAAAATCTGACGCTTTCTTTCTTATTGGCGTGACGGAAGAGTGTCTGACATTTTATATTTCTTTATTTGAAATATAGATAAAAAACATAAATAACTTTTTCACACGTATTCTAAACGTACCAATAAGGATACAATCAACAAAATATTCTACAAAAGTTGATTTATATTTTATTAATTGACTTTATGCAAGATTATCTTCTTCTCAACTATTTCTAGTTTGAATGAACCTCAAGGCGGTTTTAAAAAGATCACAATATAAAAAATTAATTATATATACTTAATAGATGATTACGGAAATTTCAGAAAATATATCCAACTCTTTTAATATCATCTATTCAGTTAAACTATCAGATATTTTTCAATATCTGGTATCGATAAGTATTGTTCAGTCAGGGATTAAAACGAGCCTTGTTCGAACTATAGGTGGAGGAGCCTCTTCATGCATTTCTTTTTGAATAATTCGAGGTGGTGGGGTGCGTGGTTGTTCAATTACACGTT